AATTTCCCTATTCTTCGATTCCCACACAGGCATATGGGAATCGTTGTTCACACCTTTTTGAAAACAGCTGTAATCATATATTACATAGTATAATGGTGATACAAGGGAATATGTAGTCAGCGCATCAATAATATTATAACTTAAAATATGAAATTAACTTCTTATATTACAATAAACATTAGTTATTTACATAGAAGGTATGAATAGCAATGCCCATCCTCCTAAAACTATATAGTAGATTTTTTTTTTTTTTTTTAGCAACTATTTGGGAGGGTGTATGAATAGCAAAAGTGGGAAGTACAAATAGTATTGTCCTTAAATAATTGATCAATTCCAAGATTGTATATTATTAATCGATTTTCGACAATCTTGCTATTTATAATACGCTATTCTATTACAGTACTTAATTTTAATCGTCTATCAAAAACTTTCGTCAATACAACATTCTATTGTGTTGTATTCTCTATCATATATTTAAGTTGACGGTTTAAGAATAACCTATTTGCTTTTTTTCTTGCATTTTGATAATATTATGATGCATTTTATAAATTTTATAACTACCAATCTCCCAACTTCAATCGCTGTGTTACTATTTTTATATATAGTTAGGTATTATTATAAATATTTTACTAGAGTGAATCCGCTTCCTGGTCCATTTCCTTGGATGCCTATCATAGGAAATATTTTAGATGTGATTATATATAAGTTCAATGTATCAGAGTACTTAAAAGATGTTCAATCAAAATATGGAGGTTTCTGTGATATTCACTTTGGTTCTAAACGATTTCTATTAGTTTCAAATAGTGATGTGGCATATCCAATTAATACCTCTTCAGTGGCACATAGTTATAAATTCTTATATCGTGATGTACCAGATCCTGCAATGAAAGATTTGGGTATGGAAGGTAGTGGAATAATTGCCAATAGAAATTTGGGTGAATGGAAAATCAATCGCGAGTTTTTCATAAGAATAGCCATGTCGAAAAAATTTTTGAAAATGCTTACAGAAAAATCATATGAAAAGGCTACAAATATGTTTAAATTATGGAATATTTTGATAAATGACAAGCGGGAAATTGATATGTCTAAATGGCTAGAAAAGTTTACTGGAGATATAGCGGTTTCAACATCAACTGGACTATCTGCTTACTCAATGCTTTCTTATTTTAATTTGTTGGGATATGAACAAAATTTTGATTATATCCCATCTTCAGAATGGAAACAATCATCGGAAATAATTTCTCTTATTAATTCTTTCTTTGAAACAGTGCTATGTAATACAGTAATTTCATATATCGTATATTGCGAATAAATCATTATAATTAAAATGGTTAACTGATTTGTCTTTTTTAACTCTAGGGTTCAATTACATCCCAAGTTTTATAAGACATGTCCCTGTCATAAGTTACTTTAACAAAAAGTATGAAAACGGAATAAAAAACCTGGAGTTCCTTTTACTTGAATTAATTCAAAGAAGACGTGCGGAAATTGATTTATTACCCAACGATACTTTATTGCCATCAGACTTTTTAACATAACTTCTTACCGTCAACACACCACGGAATCCAGAACATACTTTATATAAGTCATTAAACCGATCGTTGAATGATCATGAAATATTCGGAGTTATTAGAGACATTTTCTTGGGTTCCATCGAAACGGTAACTAATTATTTAATACAATGTTTCTAATAGTACACTGATCATTATACTAATATTTAACTCATAACAGGTTGCATCATCAATGTGTTCAGTATTTTATTATATATGCAAACATCCTTCTGTAAAATCTAAAGCACTTTCTGAAATCAACGAGATATTCGGACATTCAATAAAATTAGATACCCTTTACGAGGATTTAAATAAACTATTATATTGTGATGCCTTAATTAAAGAAGCAATTCGCTTAACCCCGGCATTTCCGGCTCTGACACGATCGAATTCTGAACCTGTAGAAGTTGGCGGATATCTATGGAAAGAGTCACAAGCATTTCTATTATATTACCAGGGAATAAATATTAATAAATACGATTGGATTGATGGTGAAACTTTTGATCCTGAAAGGTTTTTGAAGCATGAAGGTAGTAGGCGATCAATGAATGCTAAAGAAGCTAATAATAAAAAGGCATTTGCAACATTTGGTGGTGGTGCTAGGGCTTGTCCGGTTTGTATTAGTAAAAACTACAATTTTGTATAAAAATCTTTATATATATATAAATTTTATTTATTTATATAATTTATATTAACAGGGAAAGCTCTGGGGGATGATTGAACTAAAAGTACTATTAGTTACAATCTTAATGAGATATGACATGGAATTTGTGAATAAAGATCAAGGATTGGACTTATATTATGATTCATCCTCTCATTGGCGAGAACTTAGAATGCGGTTAATACCTAGAACGCCGGAAGCATAATTTAATTGTTTATCCTGAATGATTTATCTCTAAAGTTGAAATTGTTGCCATTTGTCCATCTTGTATTAGCGTACGTGACATTATGCTTCCCTCATATTACATCTCTTAAAATGTGTAAGTTTATGATGTTATCGATAATACTTTTCTATAAAGTTATATTAGTATTATATAAATTATATATATATTTAATATTTATATAAATATAAAATTTATATAAATATAAAATTTATATAAATTTTATTTATATCTACATAAAAATGATTTTATTTACTTTTAGCTATTTCTCAAAAGTAACTAAGTTATTCGCCGCACGATACACTAAGTAAAATGTTCAGTATGTCGAAAACCTTTCCCAAACTTTATCTTAAACCTTAAAATCTAAACCTAGCTTTAATATTTAATTTAAAAATTTTTCGCTATTTTACATAGTTCTATATAGAAATTTATATATATTTATATAAACTATATAAATCTACATTGGTTTTATAAAGTTCTATAAGATGCAATAAAAATCACCATAACTTTACATAAAAATTTCATATAAATCTATTTAAAAATGTACTTACTAATGATAGCAATTTGCATAATAATCTACCATGTTATTTTCCTTACTAATGTTAGATTTTTTAATGCAGAGCATAGTATATGGAAATTTCTATTATTAAAGCATATAATGAAAAATAATTTGTAATTTTTAAAATATAAATGTTTCACATTTTTGATTTTCTTTGATTTTTTTGTTTAATAAGAACTTGGATTATATGACTCTATTCGTACCAGTCTATGGCTTAGACTTTGAGTTGTTAGATTCATAGTAATGTATTTATTAATATTAATTTAATTTCATAAATATTCAGTGTTTAATCGTTACAATAATAATCGGTAGAGTAATTTGTTTCGTATAAAATGACTTGCGAATAATTTCGATTAACCAATGATATTTTGACAATATCACGGGATTATCTACAAAAATTAGCCAATCGGAATGAAAGCCCGCTATGCTTAATACATCACACAATTTTTGCTTTATTGCAAAGTAAAATTTAAGAATATAGATTTAGAAAATCATGAATTATAAGCATAACGGAAGTTTAATTTTATTGGTTGTTTTTTTCTATTGAAACAAGATTTTTTAGTACAAAGTACTAGTCCTGAAAAACAATTCAAATGTTTAAATAAATTAAATTTCATTATATTAAAATGATTAAAAACTTTATAAATTAAAAAAATAACAATTGTTTTAGTTAGATTCTAAAGTGTATTCATAAATAACTGATAGAATTTGAATTGTAAAAGTAATGAAACTAATAAAATTAATAAAAGGTACGTAGCAAAAATTAGAAAAAACTGATAGAAGTAAATATCATATTTTCACATAATAACGCACAGGGTATAATCTCGAATTTTGGCCTAAATTATGCTTTATTCAGTCAAAAATTCGAATAATGCTCATGGCATTGCAATATGAAAATACGGTAATAACAAAAAGAACTTGTAAACGGTAATAAAAAATATTAAAGCCTTATATACATAAAATAACCAGCAATTAGTATTTTAAACCACATGATTTAATTAAGGTGATTAAGCCATTTGGCTAAAACATTGGCTAAAGCAGCTGGCTATTGGTTTACTGTAATCTTTTGGGTTTTTTCTCGATTTTGCCTATATTTATATTCATTTATTCTTCCTTTCTCAGAATTCATCATAATATTCTATTTAAAATCATGTGATCTTTAGCTGCATTAGCCAGCCAGCTATTTTATCAACCTACTTGTCATCTAGCCATAACCACTACTACAATACTAGTGATAAAAGATCTTTAAACACATTTTCTGGTTATTTCTTATTAGTATACATTTTGATATTTTAGTTCATAAATTTGGATAAATTGATGTTAAAAAGAGCTTTAATAAGTAAATGTTTATAATTAAATTATACTGTTATACGTATACTTTACATATGAATTTATAGAATCCGATTAAATGTAACTGGATCAAAAATGTAATTTTAAAGAATCTTTGATATACAGTATAAGATAATAAAATATTAAAAATAAAGAATTTATAATAAAGTATCAAATAAGTACAAAAAATTATAATTTAAATTTGTATCTCTACGATATTAATTCCTCTAAAGTTAACTCTTGGAACATATAAAAAGATTAAACACTCCTTCCAGACAGCACAAAGTTTTATTTTGAGGACTATAAACTAAAAAAAGGAAATACGTATTATGCATAAATATGTAGTAATATTACTTTAACAATAGTTATAAATTTTGAAAAACAAAACTTACGTTCAACTCTCATTTACAAACCCAAAGGTTGATCCTTAGGAAGGCTTTGAATATTCGTCAAGTCTTTAACAGTTTGCGAATTCTCATATTTAACATGTCCAACTGCACCAGAACATTTGCCTCCAGCCCCTCATTCTTTACAAAAATCTGTAACATGATTATGTACAAGAGAATCTTTATAAAACGCTTTGACGTGCATCATGGATCCATCTTCGATTGGCTCATTGTCTATCGCACGAGTTTTTTGAGTTACTTTTTGACCAGAAATTGCTGGGTTTGGGTAATAATTATACTTAATAACTTTATTTGGAAATGAGCCTTCACATTCATTGAAACCCGAAAGAGGTCCATCGTCTTCAGACCTATGCATAATTGAACGAAGAGAAGGAAGATCAAAAGATGTAGCAAAGACAATAAGGTTTAGGAACATGATGAGAACAAAGAACTTGTGCATTGTGATTATTTTAAATGATAAAATTTTAAATTATTCGAGAATGTAAGCAAATTATTTTGTCAAAAATATAGATATTTAATTTTCAAAATGTGCAATTCAAGAGCCCTTTATATATTTTTGGAATTCCTAAAGTGTCTTCCTAAATATAATTTCATTGGACCTTTTCAAAGAGATTTCACCTGCATAATTTCTTATCATATTTGTCATTTTTACTATCATTCGCGCAGTGGAGGTACAGAATAGATTATTAATAATTCGAAATTAATTAAAAGGACTCAATAAACTGAGCCATTATACTCACTTTCCCAATGGTCATTTCCCTGAAAGGCAATTTACTCTCACACATTGGTTAGGGTTAACATTTTTGTTAGTAAATTATCATCTTTGTGTAATGTCAAGTAAATATTTGCAGGAGAAATTGACATCGATAAAATTTGATACAACCCAATGAATTCAAAATAAAGTTTATACCGAAATTCATATTAAATTATCTTTATTAATTTAGAAGTGTTCAAAGATTTTTAAAAGAACAATAATGATCGATTATATAAATTATTTCAAACTATAATACTAAAAAGTATAATCTTTAATTAAGTAACGTAACATATATTTATACAATATTCCTCTAACTGCACAACTAATCCTTCACTTGGTGTTCGATCATAAAAAAATTGGTTACAATATTCGATTACTTTACTGGCAATGTTATACGTAGATATCCCAAACCTATTTGAGTAGTTGTCCAACATTGACAATTCCAATCTTCTAAATGCAACCCCTCAAATGCAATATTCTTCTAAATGCAACCCATCAAATGCAATATTCTTCTAAATGAACCCATCAAATGCAATATTCTTTTAAATGAAACCAATCAAGTGCAATATTCTTCTAAATGCGACCCCTAAATGCAACGTTCTTCTAAATGAAACCCATCAAGTGCAACATTCTTCTAAATACAAGGTTTGATTATATATCTATTCTCTGAATCAACTATATTCTAAAAAAGGTACTCGCCATAACTCTAAAAGTTTCCTGGTGAGATTAGAATAATGGATAATACCGTTATTTAATGTTACTCAGCCAGATAATGAAATTATTTTACAAATAATTTCCATTATTGGCTGCTTTACATCCAATAACTATACAATATTCTGATTTCAGAAGACTTTTAGAAGTTACAGTAGAGTGAGGATACCTATGAGTAAGATTAGACTATTGGTTTAAATTAATTTCTACTACTAAATTATAAAATTTCTTTTTTTATTATACAATTATGCTAATATTATAATAGATTTACAATAAAAATGGTCAATGCTAATAATATATTCAAGTATTATATGATATTGCAACATCTCAATATTGAATTTATTTGATAGGTTTGATTGGTCAATAATCGTGGTATGATTTCTATTATTGCGTTTAGTGAGGTAAAAATCTATAAATGATATACTAGTTAGACCCAAGAGAAGATATGCGTATTACTATTATTGGATTTTATATTTTTCAATGACAACTTTAAATATATGCACAACCACCGTTTACATTATGCACCGGTACCAATTGGCTGGGAACACTAATAACACCACTTATGGCAACTTTATAATATTTTATAGCAACTTTAAATATATGTACAACAACTGTTTGCATTATGCATATGAGTAAATTACATGATTCTCATTATTGTTTTTTTTAACCAATGGTACCAATTTCCTGGGAACGCTACTTGTGGTAAGTTTATAATATTCTATGGCAACATTAAAAAATATATATAAAACTTCAACTGTTTACATTATGCATATGAGCTAAATTACCATAACTCATTATTATTATACGACAGGGTGAAACTCGCGTTGTGAATTAGTAAAATTCCTACTGAATCTGTGACAAGTAATGTCAATTATCGCTGATTGTAGCCAAGATCATGTGTAACTTAAGTAATTCAAAAAAAAACCATGAAAAAAACAGAAATTCAGTACGTACGTTATGCACGTGCCACTTATGGCAATTTTATAATATTCTATAGCAACCTTAAAATATATGTGAACGACTGTTTACATTATGCACATGAACTAAATTATATATATCTCATTATTACTACTACTAATAACAACTCCCGAATAATCTCTGGTTATGTAATTTTTCAGGTGCATTACAACCGGAAAATGCAGAAGTTACAGTTTGATATTTCTATTATAAATGTAAATTCGGTCATAGAAGTATAAGTCCGTTGCTTCGCTCCGAGCAATTATTGTTTAACCCGTGTACTAATTACTTGGGAATGTCAAATGACCCATATATGAGGACGTCTAAAACGGGCAACCCATATTTCTCATTAAGTTTCTCGATTAACTTAAGGGATAGAGTTAATTTATACTAGGGTTAAGTCGGGTTTTAGGTAGTTATATGTAAGCACAATTGCCTACCTGAGGTAGGTTTAGATTGCTGATTATTGTATTTTTTAGGTTTTTCGGTTTTTTATTTCGCCGGCGATCATCAAAATTCTATAATTTGATTGGCTTTGATAATGGGAATTTGCCGCTTTTGACGACCCCAATTATGGCAACTTTAAAATTTATGTACAACTTCGACTTTTTACAATTATCCACATGAGCTAAATTACGTAACTCTATTGTTCCCCGTATAATTATGAGCATATTAAGGGTGTTATTTGTTATTTCCCCTAAAAAGTTAAAATTTAAAGGATGGCAAAAATATGATAAAAACAATTAGTAACACGAGTCACTGTCATGTCGTCATATGAGATGTTCGAATAACTTGCCGTATTGTCTCGAAATAACGCCCCGGGTGTAGGTTAAGATTTCGGCCCGAATTAAGCCTAAATTAAGCTTGATTCGGCAAAAATTTTAACTTACACCCCGGGCGTTATTTCGAGACAATAGGGTATTTAGCCGTTTCGCAGGGGAAATAATCGAAGTGCCACATACCGGTACATTACTATACGTACTGTACTACTGTACGCAAAATTTTTGCCGATTCTTTATACCAGCTAATCAAGTCGCTAGATACGCATTGTACAGTAGGCTCAAAAAGTATATCACGGTTACACAAAAAACATAACATAAATTCATTGAAAATGTATACGTACGTAATAAATTAATCATAGTATTAATCATTATTAAATCGTATTGCTGAAGTTATTGCTAATAGTGGTTATGCTTGTAAATATAGATATATTATATCGTTATATATTTTAATTGGCGTAATGCTAATTTGTATAATAGTAAAATATTAATATTTATAAAATTTATGCCATGTTTTTGTGTAACCGTGATATACTTTTTGAGCCTACTATACTTCTATACGTACTGTACGCGAAAAAAATTAGGGTATCATGTAAATGTGCCATGTATAACACTGGAAAATATTTCCATCCCAGGGAAATTATCTGGGAACGTCATTTATGGCAACTTAATAATATTCTATGGCAACTTTATAATATATGTGCAACAACTGTTTACATTATGCACATGGGCTAAATTACATAACTCATTGTTTATTTATATTTTTTAACCCCGTGGTACCAATTTCCTAGGAAAACAGCTTTAAAAAACATATGTACAATAGTTGAAATTAATTATTTTGTTATGTGCATTCATTCTCCGATTTTATTATTAATGAAAAGATAAATCTGGATTTAGAATAGTTTAAAGCGAGATATTTAAAAATTTCGATGAAAAATGGTTTGGTGATGCAAAAGCCCCATAAACAAAGGGTTAATAACGAAAAAGATTTTTTATCAATGGGATTAAACATAAATACAGTAGACAGATCATGAAATGGCAAAAATCGAAGCTTTAAAATAGATATTTACCTATATGTCACCATAATTGTTACACTATTTGGTTATAGTTTGTATAAAATTTATTTCTATCCTATTTACTTTTCTCCAATACGCAAAATCCCTGGTCCACCTCTTGAAAGCTTTGTCTTTGGTCATCTTCCATTACTAAAAATTGAGGTAGATTTTGTAATTGCCTTTATTCTTAAGGTTTTATTCATATTTAAAATTTTCATATTATTTCCAGCCTGATAAATGTATTCTTCACCTAGTAAAGAAATATTGAGGCATTTTCCAGTTATATACATTGTTTAACGAGCTTCTACTCATAATTACAGACTGCCAACTTATCCAAAAATTATTAAATTCATACGACTATCTAAGACATGGCAGGGCTTTATATGAAGATTAGTTTGGAAAAGGAATAGTACGCGCTGAAGGAAAAGATCATAAACGACAAAGAAAAATGATGGACCCTCTATTTTCTTTTGCTAATTCTAAAGTAATTGCAATCATATAAATAAAATTTTTTATCTTGAGCATTGATAATTTTAATTATAATTATAATTATTAAATTGTCTTATCTCCTCTTTTAATTATATTGCTCTTCGAATTTTAAGAAAATGATTCCAATATGTATTCAAGCCGCACATCAATTGAAAAATTACTGGATGAAACGAATTTCCGATAATAAAGAAGAAAGAATTACAATTACAGATTTTATATCTAAAATAACTTTGGACATTATAGGTTTAGTTGGTAATAGTTTGACTCAAAATTTATTTATGTATTAGATACTTTATAATAGATTTAATAATGATACATTTAATTTTAAATAAATAGGATTTAATTATGAATTTAATTCTCTTACTTCTGGATCAGAATTAGGCAGAGCACATAATGCAATATCAGAATATGATTTAACACCTATATATAGCGCTCTTACTGATTGCTTTCCATTTATTAGAAAAATCTTATTTAGTTTTAATATTAAATATCTTAATGGACTTAAAGTTACTAAAAACATTTCTGAAAAATTTGTTACTGATATAAAAAATAATCATATCCTAAGTAATAATCTATTTTCATTATTGGTAAAAACTAATGAAAATTTATCGGATGACGAAAAACTAGATGATGATGAATTGATAAGTCAGGTTAATACTTTACTTTTTATTTATCTTAATGATTTATAGTATTGGGAATTTTTATTTAATAAATATTTTTTAAATCTTTTAGGTTAAAACAATTCTTCTTAGTCAAGTAAATGTACATATCTTATTATCTTGGATATTACAATTTCTCGCAAAAAATCTTGTTCATCAAGATTGTCTTCGTGAAGAATTGAGTAATGCATTCTTTGATCTTGATCATCATCCCACTGCTGATGAGATTGACAAATTAAAATATTTAGATTGTGTTCTTAAAGAAACGTTAAGACTTGTTCCATCTGGTATAGTACACATAGTATAATTTAATAAGATTTTCATATTTCATAATGCTTTAATAATTAATTAACTTTATTTTGAATTTAAAGTTCTGTCATTAGTTCGTAAAACCACAAAAGATGAAATAATGAATGGATACTTAGTTCCAAAGGTATGCTCTTAACTGCAGTGTTGTTAAGTAACCTGAAATGACCTTTTATATATGAAATTTAATAATAAATTTCAAATGACTCAAGTAACTTGACAAAAGCTATTTTAAAAAGGGCAAATGTCTGCAAATTTAACAACACTGCTTAACTGTATTTCTTTAATTAATTAATTTAATCAATATTAAATTGTTATACAAATTTAACTCTAATATTAGGAAACAACAATATCAATTTCACTTAATGCAATTCATTGTGATCCTTTAATCTGGAGTGATAATGCTGATGAATTCGACCCATCTCGATGGTTAGATCCGAATCTAAAATCCAAACTCTCTATTTATAATTATTTACCTTTTGGTGCTGGACTGAGAGGTTGTATAACATCAAGGATGGCTATAATGAATTCTAAATCAATTTTATCTGTATTAATTCGAAATTTTAAGTTTAAAGTTGTTGAAGGATTTAATTTTAAAAAGAAATTTGTAGGTATTGCTAAACCATTGCCTGGAATTGATTTATGGGTTTCAAAAGTAGATAAATGAGAATTTAAATATGCAATATAAATTTGTCATTTATTATTCCACCCATGTAACTTCAAGTTTATTACCCACTATTCTTAATTGCATGTAATTTTAATTTTTTTTTAGTTAATTAATAATATGAGCAAAATTTTATTAATTATTTGTATAAAGTAATAAATTTAAATTCTCTTTTAAAAATTTTTTACAAAAACAAAGTCATGCAACTAATGGAGTCGTATTTCGAATTTTAGTAAATCGGCCAATAAGATTGTAAAAAAAAAAGTCGTGAGATTCTTAAGCTATCCAAGCTTTTGAAATTAATAAACATCCTATTTTCATCCTTTTCAACAACAATCCCATTAAGATACAAATATCCAACCATATATATTCCTTTACCATTACCCATCTCTGCCGATTTTTGATAATATATGAATGCCTTACGTCCATACTTTTCAGCTCCAATTCCATCATAATAACAATATCCAACCATATATGTTCCTTTAATATTATCCATCTCTGCAGATTTTTGATAATATATGAATGCTTTATGTTTTTGATAATAATGAATGCCTTACGTTCATCTTAACTCCAATTCCATTAAGATAATATTATCCAACATTGTATGTCCATCAGCGTTTCCCATCCTTGCTGATTTCTGATAATATATGAATGCCTTATGCCACTCCAATTCCATTTTGATAACAATATCCAACATCGTTAGTTGCAATTGATATTCCATATCAGCAGATTTTTTTTAGTATTCAAAAGCCTTATTCTCGTCTTTCTCGACTGCAATACCATTTTGATATTACATCCAATTTTACAGTGTTTAGCATCCATCAAACTCATTCAATAATATAGTATCAAATAAAATTTTTATTGTTATTTATAACATATATTTACGATAATCTTTACAAAAATAGTCGAATTTTATTTTTTAATTTATTGTTATATAAAAATTTTAAATCAAAAATTAGACGATGTTTAAAAGCATAATTTAAGTTGATAATTTAATACTAATGCAAAGGTATGAATTGTATTTAATCAAGTCGTATAATACAAATTATTTGGTTTGAAATTAAAATTGATGTGAACAGTATCTACATCCTGATTTACATCCCAAAAATAATACAGTTAAACCTCTCTATAACAAATCTTTGGTTATAAGGAGATTTATATATAAATACCCCTCTCTAGATCCTGACCCTAATCTTAATCTTAGCGAATTTTAAGAATTTTGTCTGCGCCACTATCCTTGTCAATATGCTTTAAAAGTGGTCAAATGATCTAGAATTATAAACGATGGATCAACATCATAAGGGTTAATCTTAATCTTAACGAATGTTAAGAATTTGTCTGCGCCACCAGACCTTGTCAATATGCTTTAAAAGTGGTCAAATTATCTAGAATTATAAACGATGGATCAACATCATAAGTCTAAGGATGGGTTCGTGACCGAATCCATCCTTACTTAAAAAATTTGCAGTCAAATTAGGGTTAGAAAGAACCATTCCAATGCCAAAATTTCGCTAGGAAATTTTTGTTAATGCGCAAAAAGCAATTTAATAGGTAAATTGTTGAGTCATGAACGATGTTATGGTGGTTTTGATTTTTTGCGTTTTTTCGGGTCACGCCGGATCTTGAAATCTGATTGGCTGGCGAAATAGTAGCAAAATTTTTTAGGGAATACTCTATTAATCATTGCAGACAATTTACTGGGTTGTTCTTATTGATTTTACCATTAATAGAATTGTCTTAGTATGGAGAACGATGTTTGTTAGAGTATAAAAGAAAGGTTTCTTAGTACCAAATCCAGTTCTGGTGCACTTTTTACTTTTTATTTTTTTATAAGTGGATACGCATTAATTCGGAAGCATCATATGCTGGTTTTGAAGATCTTGTTTCTCAAAATAATACCCACGGTTGGTAATTGAAGTGGTTATATGATTTATTCTGAAGGAGTAAGAGTATTAGCAAAAGTTCTTTGCACAAACACTATGTTATCTTTTTTAGACTTTTAATATAATCAACTTGATTTTGAGGAAGGAAAATTATTGTAGAAGATCTTCGTCAAACATTAAATTGATTAACTTAAATATTGGCAATAATCAATTAGGTTCTGAAGGGTAAAGGTAATAGTAGAAGAAGCATTTCATAAAACGGTACTTTAAAAACTTTATCTATATGTTCTAATAAGTCTAGTTTCGAAGGAGGAAAAACATTGACGGAGGTTCTTTACTTAAATATTGCTCTGAATTATTTAGATATTAGTCTCAATGGGATTGGTTTTTCAAGAAATAGAAATTGCAAGTGCACTTTACATAAATAATACTCTAGATTTCTTTAAATATTTGCAGTAACTATATTGATTTTGAGGAATAAAATTATTTAGCTAAAGCTCTTTGTAAAAATGTAACCTTAACTTCTTTAAATTTTAGCGATAATAAAATTAAATTTAATGGCGTAGAAGTATTGGCAAAGGCTCTTAACATGGCCACTACTTTAACTTCCTTCGAGCTTTCTTTTAATGAGCTTAATTTTGAAACCTTAGTAGAGGTTCTTTATAAAAATATTAAATTGACCTACCTAAATCTTAATGGAAATCCAATTAAGTTTATGAACTACAAAAGCCCAAAAGGCACAGGTGCATTAAGAATTTTTTTTTACAAACTTAATTTAAGATTATTGGTAAAATATCATAAAAGATAGTATATACATCGAGTTAACAATTTACTAAACTAAAAACAAATAATTTAGCGTCAGATAGGTCAAGTTTACAATTAATAAATTTAGCAAGTTTTAATTTGATTTTTGGGATATTACAACAATAAATAAAATTCAATTTGGTTTTGAATTACAATAAAAGAAATATTTGATATTATTTTTTTTTGGTTAATATAAATACTTCGTTTTATTCACTAATTCTATTATTTAAGATCGATAATCAGCTAAGCTTGAATTTTAAAACTGCTCTTTGCTTACACTACATTATTGAATCGGTCGGGTGAAAATGAATAGAAATTAAAAGGATTTTTTTCTACAATCCATTAAATCTTCTCTGACCTTAAATTTCATCATCATGTACTTGGTTTATTTTCATCTCAATTTCCTTTTTCAAATTTGTATTACTCGCGAAACTAAGTAAGTTCTTTAGTACAATAGTAAACTGTTAGTACGAAAATGATACTAAGTCTAATCGTACGTACGGTTGACGTAGATCTGTAAAACCTTAGTTTATGAGCAACCATTTTTAATGGTTGGAGTTAGGGTAAGCGCTAATATTGTTCTTTTTTCGTGTTAGGGTAAGAACAGATGGTAGAAAAAGCACTTTGGTTTGACGAATTTATTCACAAACTGTACTATCATGATTTCTACACGTCTGTCTCATTCTCGTTTCCGTACTGTACTACTTTACTATATACACTGTATAAGTTAGTATTCCATTTAGGGAGTTGTATTACTGGAACAAATAAAAAAATTAATTTTGAACGAGCTATTGGAATGATACGCATAGTAAGGACAGTCGATGTTACACAGCTAATCCCACACCTGGCGTGTAGCACATAAAATATTATTTTACAATACGGATCATTCTACTAGTCTATGTTACGGTTATTATCCTTCACCTGTTGGATTAGTGACGGTTCCTCCTGTTATAGTAAGGGGCATGTTACAATGTTTCACAACATTTCAGTTAGTTATACATAAAAGCAAACAATTTGTCTATTATACGTATTTCATATTCTTTTTAAAATGTTGAATTTACCGAACGAATGCCTTTCAGAAATATTTAATAATCTTGATGATGATCATTCAAGTTTATTCTCATGCCTTCTTGTAAATCGTCAATGGTGTAGAATTGTTGTACCAATATTATGGAGTAGGCCAACAGATTACTTCTGCGACAATAGACTTATAGGAATGTATCTTTTAGAGTTAAATGCCGAAGAACAGGCTCTATTGATCCCTTTTAAAATTATTATCCCAAGTTATCAAAGATCGCTATTTGAGTACACAGGTTATACAGTATCAGTTGGCCTTTATTTTACCAATGGAATTAAAAATTGGCTTATTAAAGAATTTAATATGGATAGGTCTAGTGACTTAACATTTATTAGAGATGCCATTGAACGTTCTTTGATTACAATGTTTCTAAGAACAAGCAAAAAACTTAAATATTTAAAATATGGTTTGGATTATTTTGATTTCGAGGATATAAAAGTATTAATGAATAATATCAATAAAAACACTACCTTGGCTCTTTTAGATCTTTCATATGATAAACTTGGTCCTGAGGGAGGGAAAGCAATAGTAGAAGCACTTTATAATAACGTTACTTTAACTTCTTTAAAGATTAGTGGTAATAATATTTTGTCTGAAGGGGGGAAATCATTAGCGGAATTTCTTCGTAAGAATAACACTTTAACTTATTTAGATATTCGCTATAATTGTATTGATTTTGTGGGAGGAAAAGCACTAGCTGAGGCACTTTGCACAAATACTACATTGACTTTTTTAAGTGTTTATGATAATCTACTTGGTTCTAAGGGTACGAAAGTTTTACTAGAAGCACTTTTAAAAAATAACACTTTAACTTCTTTAGATATTGGAGACAATTTAATCGATTTTGAGGGAGCAAATGTTTTAGCAGAGGTTCTTCGCAAAAACACTACTTTAACTTTCTTAGATCTTTCAGCTAATCAACTTGGTTCAGACAATGGGAAAGTGATAGCAGAAGCTCTTCGTTCAAACGTTACATTGATTCATTTAAATATTGGCCATAATTATTTAGGTCCTGAAGGAGTGAAAGCAATAGCAGAAACTCTATGTAAAAATGTCACTTTAAAAACTTTATTTATCGGTTCTAATAATGCTCGTTCTTACGGAGTAAAAGCATTAGCAGAGGCTCTTTGCATAAACAATACTTTAACTTGCTTAGATATTTGCAGTAATAAGATTGATTTTAAAGACGGAGAAACACTTGCAAGAGCACTTTGTAAAAACAATACTTTGACTTCTTTAAATATTGGCTACAATAATATTGGTTCTAAAGGAGGAGAAGCATTTGCAAATACTCTTTGCATAAATACTACACTTAGATCTTTGGACATTCAGGAAAATTATCTTGGATTTAAAGGGGCAAAAGCATTAGCAAAGGCTCTTTGTAAAAATGCTACCTTAACTTCTTTAGATATTAGTGGTAATGAAATTGAACATAACGGAGGTAAGGCATTAGCTGAGGCACTTTGCATAAACACTACTTTAACTTGTTTGGATCTTTCTTATAATAAGCTGAATTTTGAAATTGGAGAAGCCTTAATGGAGGCTCTTTATAATAATATTACATTGACCTACTTAAATCTTCATGGCAATTTAATTGATTTCAAGAACTGTAAAAATACAAAAAGTATAGGCGTATTAAAAAAATTTTTCTTAAAAAACACTATTTTAACATATTTATGATAGAAAATTTCTTAGTTGAAATATAGCGTGTGTACACGAGTACTAATTAATTATCTGTACGCTCATGCAACATGCAATTTTTATTAATAGAAGTTAACCTGTTTAATGATATGTAGTAAGAATAGTTTTTAGAATAATGCATATTTTATGCCAAAATTTTGCAATGTGTCCTTTTTGTTAAAACTTATTAGTAGCTTTACTAACAAAAATTTTGAGAAATAACAATATTCTTCTATATGTCGTGAGTGTGAATGGAATTTAAGTGGATTTGGTTAAATTGAGGTTAAGGTTAGGGTGATATAGGACAAAATCAACTCCAAATTCGGGTTTTATATAAAAATTCCGAATTCTGCTTCCATGATCACTTATTTCGAACTAGGCATAATACAGTTCTAACAAAAATAACTTCATAATTTATTAATCCACTATTTTTAAACAATATTTACTGTAAATAAACCAACATCTACATAACTCTACAAAACTATATACCAACAGACCTTATATAATATCTCAAATGATACAACAACAGTAATAATCAAACCATTAACTAAAAATATCACACAAATATGCAAACAGAGATAGAAGCTATACTGTACAAAACTGATACAATGGATAAAAATAACAATATAACATTTAACACTAACAGATTACAAATCAAAACAAAAACACAAAACTATTCAAACCATCATCATACAGTAAACTACGTGATTTATCCAACTAACTACATACCAAAAAATTGTTGTTCAATATTAAAATTAATACTTTATAAAATTAATCTTTGATTTACGTACATACTAAATACTTTATAGTTATTCTACAAATAACATTTTATATTATTAAATCTAAGTGAGTTTTAACCACTCTAATAAGTTTAAGTTGTAGATAAATTAGTTAGGTAAACTTTTCTATAATCTGAGCCTCACTCTTATAGTGAATTTGTAATTAGAATAAGTTTTATAATTTACATCCAGAGAAACCCTTGAAGGTTTGTTCAACAAATTAATAAAGATATGAGCAATACCTCATCTTAATATCAAAAAATAAAAATAAAAGTTATGAGCAGTAGGATCCGTGAGAAAAACTATTACATATCTTGGGTCACTGCGTATTAGTGGTCATATATTTCCGTTAGGACCAACTCACTAATACGCAGTACCCAAGAAATTATTATTACAAATTTCTTTTACCGACAAACTACTTTTCTGACATTTCATTTTACCGGAAACTTCCTATTTATACATTTCAAATCTGTTTTTTCTCGACATACAATTTCCATGACAATCTATTGTTTCGAAAAATATTTTACAGACAATCTGTTTTCGGTTTTACTGACAACTCATTTTGCATCTACTTTCCGGAAAATTTTATTTTTTAGAACTAATTTTTTCAAAATCAGTTTTAAAAGTTTGCATGTAATTATCACATTATCTAAATTAATATATTAAATATTAATAATATGAAAATATATACATAAAACATGTTCTATAGTCATCTATTCTAAATATTGAAACTAAGATAGTTATTTAATTAATATTGACTTAATTTTATTTCATTCGATACTATTAAAATGAAACGAGGGATTTCTATTTGACCCCATAAAACTCACTTATACTTGTTTACAATAAATTCTACCCCTAAACACTATTCTTAATCCTAACCCTTAAAAAATGCTAAAAAAAATGCACCTCAAAAATCTGTACTTTTCGGTGGCTTGTCTATTTGACATTATTACTCATTTTATTTTAATCTAATTTCGTTTTAATCCGTCACAATTATTGCTTGATCTGATAATTTAACTAAATAAATTAGAAAAAGACACCGATATGAAATTTCTGTTCGCTATACCTAGACTTTACTATTAAAAATACCACTAATATGTATAAATATCTACTAGCATAAAGGCAAAGTGACAAATAAAAATTCATTATGCTTAATCTAAAAATTAACACATGATAGTTTCATCGTTAAACCACAAAAAAATAAAAGAAATAAAATAATATCCAATAATATTTGAAACATGAAATAATTCTACAAAATTTTCATATAAAAAAATTGCATAGACAAAATCTTTTTTGTAAAAAAAATCAAAGGCCATCAGGAACATCTAGAAGATCGATTTTCTTGCTGAGTAACGTCATTTCAGATAACTTTTCTGTAATTTCCCATGTGTTGATGAGCTTGCTTCCA